ATAAAATTTTGTTTTCCCCCCCCAATAAAAATTTCAAAAAAAAAAAAAAAAAAAAAAAAAAAGAAAAGTAGACTACATTTTGATTATTCTCAGTAGCTGTTTTTTTGCCTGTCCTGCTCTAGTTAGGTCATGAGCTAAAGCTCAAAAGGAGCAGATTCAAAGTTATACAGTGGCTCATAGCCATGAAGATTTATATACATAAATTTTGCATCTGTTTTGCTATGATATGAATTTTTGATATGAATTTTTTTTTGTACGGTATGAATTTATTCTTCATAGTAAAGAGTCCAAAACCATGGAAAAATCATTTTTAAAAAGTATGAAAAGAAAAGGTTGGGAAAGGATTTCCGTAGGTTGTCCAATTCCTACTGTGCCCCAGTACAGGATACCTACTTCCTATTACCTACATCAGAAAAAAAGACAGATGTTTCTTTTAACCTAAACTAAGGGACTTCCTTCCACCAGGAGTAATACCAGAGCTTCAGGTTCCAGGAGAGAGTAGGCTCATGTGCAGAAGCTCAAGAAATCAAGCAGGTCAGGGAATGGTCATCTCCAAGTCTCCTGTGCCTCATGAGTTTGTAGCCAATATCCATCTCATGTGCTCCTTTTTCATCTTCCATGCTTCTTTTTTCTTCACACTCTAGCAATCTCTGTCAAGTTATTTTATACAACTCATACTTCTAAGAACAGGATATAGGGATGTATAAGAGTTTATTCAGTTTAAATTAATATATTTTCTGGTATATTTTATGGTGCAGTAGAGACATCTACTGACTATTTTGTGCTATTGAAATGTAAAGGGTTAATCTGAGAGGGCAAAAGTCCGCTTCCAAACCTTTGAAGTGTCCTTTTAGTGATACATACATCTTTATATGCTTACCTCAAATCCACTGACAAAATAATTTTGTCAGTCCTGTGCAACTGGGCTGTTCTGTGGGATATAATAATAAGCAGGCTGGAAAACTGTAATCAAACATCACTGGCTTTTGTGCCCTCAAAAATCCTTTTTTCCTTTCCTCAGGTATCTTCAAAGGCCTTGGATTCTACAGTAAATAAATCCAGAAGAATGCTAATGAGGTTAGTGAAGTTAGTCTAGATTTGCATCATTGTTACTCGGGGCACAGTTTAGTGCCTAGGCGCCAATACAAATCTGTTCTCCCTATGTTTTGTTGAAGTGAAGAATCTACCTCAATACATATTGGCCAAAAGTCAGGTAGCAAGTATCTTTTTCAACTGGATCTTCACCTGCCTGGTAAGGGAAGGGGTGGATATTCTTTTGGTCAGGAATGCTTTAATCCTGAAATTTTCTGCTTCCTCATTTAGGTGCCTAAGGCTAGGTGTCTAAATCTTAAGATGGTTACTTACAATTATTTTCCAGTCAATCAGTAGAGAGAAATTGGTACCTCCGAGGTACCTATCATCCTGACAGGTCAGACGAATGATCTCTGAATGTGTCCCACAGGACAGACTAGGGAAAGGAGACACAAGGAGGAGGTATGTCTCTGCTCCTTCAATGTTGTGGGCTGCTGAAGGGCAGAAGCTGGGTCCCAGGGGTATGCCTCAAATGTGATCACTCCACTCCTGGTCATCCCAGGTGCACAGAATAGTGCATATAAGGAATGGTT